CATTTTATTAACTTTATCACTCATTGTTTGAGTTCTGGTCTTACTGTTTCTAAATTCATAGTGTGATAATGTTCCTTTTATATAGTGCTCTTTATGGCAGGTGTCCTAGGGTTCTTTACAGTAAGGTAAATAGACAATAATTGGAAAAACAAATGAAAGAGAAGCTAGTCAATCATTTTTCCAAATAGTTCAAAATAGGGCAGCACAAACAAATACATTTGCAGACTGGAATTAAGACTTAGTTTTGTCAGCATTCCCAATGAAACCTAACATGATGTGTAAAAGCTCTTATCCTCCCAGTTTTAAATTTCTTAGGAATAATTTTAACAGTATGCAGGTCTAGAAACATAAAAAGCCAATATTTCAGAACTCCATATCTCCCTGAGTTCAGGTAGTTTTTGATTGGTAAAAAGAATGTTAAAACAATAAGAAACAGTTAAACCATTTGGAGTCCAATTTAGTGATTCGGTTATTTGATATGTTGCAAGCAATGAGAAACTGGCTTCATGTTGTTAAACAAGCAGAGCAAGTGACAGAAGTGCAGTCTAACAAGAAGAATTAAAACATTAACAGGAATTTCAGCATCTGTTTTGAACATCAGAGGTCTTTAGTTATGTGCTGTTCTTTAATATTAATGTAACAAGCTTTACAAAACTTTTCCACCTCCCAATAAATGTTAATGTTTTCAGATTCTGACAGCAGTTAAGACATTACCATCAAAGAAGATTTCAACATGTTGTTGCCCAAAAAGCATTTTTTACTAAAGCATACTTACAGTATAAAAAGCTTGAAGCTATCTACTGTGTAAATTGATTTCATTTGGTCACTGAGATAACACAGAGACTACACTTTCTGTCTTCGGAAAAGAGCAGTATGTTTGGAAATCACTTCTGCGTAAGATTTTTACTAATCTAAAGGGAGCCCCTATAACTGTCATTAAGGAACAAGAGACCAAGGTCAGAGACCCATGAAACTTGATAATGATAATGCTTCCTTGCATTTATACAGCATAGTGCTTTTCATCTGAAAGGATCCCAAAAGACTTAACATTTTAGAAGGAAACCTACAGTACTTCCTTCATCCACTCATTAGGTGTTACATAGCAGCCACGAGCACAGAAGGCTCTCTAAACAGTAGATTTCACAGTGGCTTCACTATTTTCATTGAGAGAGAGAAAAATGCTAGTTAGAATGTACAATCCAAGAGTGAAATTTAGTTTATACCCTAGTTTTAACCCCCTTATTGGGGTTTAAACACCTGCTCTTTTAAAAAGTGCAGTGTGATCATTAATGACCAAGTAGGCAGAGTTTAATGTTTCACCCGTAATTTGGTATCTCCTACAGCATGAAGTCCCTGACCACAATACTGGGGTATAGCAACCTGGTTTTCCTGGGAGGTGTCCTTTTTCTGGTTGAGTTTCTGTGGTCTGATTAGATAAGGTTACAAGATGGTAATACCTCTGTGTACTGCACATTAACTTTTCCTAAGGTGCTGCCTTTGATGCTGATGTAGTTCTGTGTACAACAACATTTTCAATTCATACTTTTAAAGGTAGCAGGTTTCAATAAAACTGATTTTTAAGCATGGAAACACCGAAGAAAAGGTAATGACTTAGATCAAGTTGTGTAAATTAGGGTATAATAAATATACACTTGTCCGTTTGCTATCAGAACTGAGATTCAATAGAATCTTGCTAAAGCATCTATAGATAGACAGGAGTGTGTATACTGCAGTAACTCTTGCCTTCATTCTAAAACTATCCCTAACATTCATCTAAAATTAATCCTACTGAATGTGTGGATGCTTTATTGACATTCTGCAGATGTTCAGTTCATAATAAATTCATGATCAATACAATAACCTTTATTTATGCTCAAGCATGACAAGTGAAAATTGTTGCATACCTTAATAAGGCTGTTTCAGTGCAGAATACAATTAATTTCTCTATCTTTTTTTCAAGGAAAGGTATATTAGAAGTAGACCAGTCATTTTATATCACAGGGGGACCTCTATTACAAGAATGGCATCTTATAAAGGAAACTTCTTTCAGGCTAGGCTATAGTATTGTGTTAAGTGCATGCAGTCACAATGAATTATGGGTATGAATAACAATTACCACTTGTCTAATCTAAGAAAGGCAAAACAGCTCTGTCAAAGCAGCTGGTAGCTTTGACTTTGCACAAATTGTAGTATCTATTGCCTATAGCATAGAGATTGAATGAAAAATAATGAATATTCATGTCCATAATGTAAAAGAAGGAAATACTATACTTACAGTGCAATGCAGTCTTGTGTTACTTTACATTGTAAGTACAGTATAGTCCTTCCCTGATCTTTTTATTTAGCAATATACTGCACTATAAATCAAAAATTATTTCCCTTTCTCAGCTGTAGCCTCTTTAACACCTTTTGCTTCTCTGTAAAATACTGGAGCATCATAGAGTGGTACACTCTTATAGTAATACTGTGGATACAATTATGACTTATTTGGTTAGTGATGTTACATACTGTATATAAGATAGCATCAATCACATGCTCAATGGGGGTCTTAACTGCCACTGTGAGATCCAGTGGGCTTTCCTAAGGCTTTCTATTTTTAAATTGCCTTTAAATTCTTTGCTGTGCACATTTGATTTTGTTTCTAGTTATTTTGAGTACACATCCAATCACCATACCCTCCAGATTAATTTAATCTTTGGGAGAAATATTTTCAGATGAAACCACAAAAGTGGAGAAAGGTAAGAGTTATTGAATGGTTGGTAATATGTTAATGTATGTTCTCATGTTATGTTTTATTAACTAGCTTGTTATAATTAAAGGTTAAGGTCTCTATTTCAAGGGCTTATAATCTGAGGGTTTTAAACCAGAATTGAGCTTTCAACAAAGTTACTGAAAAACCATTATGTTTAGTCTCTACATTCTGGAGTACAGCCATATTTGTATTAAGATTGTTGGTGTTAGATGAAACCTGATAAAAATAAATGCTTCTTCCTACTTTCATGGTCCATAGTAAGTAAATTATCTGGAACATAAAAAACATGTTACAAACAAGAGGTCATTCAGACCTTCAAAGTTGTTTGTTATCTGAGGATCTTATCCAACCATTTAAATGTGTTCTGTAGATAGGTTTAACCTGGGGGATTATTTTATACTTAGTAGTGAAACAAGGACAATCGTCACAGTTGAATACTTAAAGGGATTTAATTTAGGACAGAGAAAAGGAAACACTTTTTACCTAATGAGTTATGGTTTCCTGGAACAGCTTTCCCAGACAGCTGGTTGTAGTTCAGTCTCTGGGCATTTTTAAGGTTAAATTTCAGTTCCACTGAACTACTAAACTACAAATCAAGCAAGACAAGATGGACGAAGCAAGACGGTGAATGGCCTTGACTCATTTGTAACCTTTGTTATGTTCATATGAGTGAATATAAAGCAACAACACCTCTTTGGAAACCTGGTGACCAAAATTGTCTCCAATATTCTCAACGTGGTCTTATGAGTGCAAATACAATTTCAAGATGGCTTCCCTTGATTTAAATGCTATTCAGTTTGCCCTTTTATTGTTTCCTGACATTTGCTAGAACAATGGTTCTAAAATATAAATAGGTAAAACATTAGCATAAAGACACTGGTTATAAAAAGAATTGTGTTTTTATGTTTTTACAATTTATATATTCTAAACCAGAAGTATTTATGCCTGGTCCTGGAGAACTCCTGTGCCCTCTGGTTTTATGCTTCAGGAAAGGTCTTAGTCACGGGTTATCAGATTAAATTGTTGTAGTTGAAGCCTATTTTAAACTTTGCTTCTAAAAAGCTACTAAAAAGATGAATTGGATTTGTAAATGGAGTCATCCCTATACTAATTAGCGAGTTTCCAATCAGCCCTTATCCAGGTGTGTGAGCAGAAACGATGTGACCAACTCCATGTAGTACCAACTGAATTCAAGCTGAACCAAAATGCTCACTGCTTGATACATTGTTATTCCTAACTGTTTTTGTTCCTCAGAATCAGGTCACCTAATAAGAGTTTTTTAGTCAGAGATAAGGGAGCAGATTCCTAATTAGCAAAATGAAGAGAGAATGCATAAAGTTCTGTATGCTGACATTATTGGAAATAATGTACCTTAGGTCTTTTTGAAACCAGGGCCAGAGTGCAGAATAAATAAAAACAAGTAAGCAGTTATAGCAGCAATTAGCACTGGACACCGGTGACTTTCGTCTAAGAGCCCACTTAGACAAAAACCAGCAGGCAGAGACAAAACAAATGGCAAAGTGAATACGAATACTAGTATCTTCTACAATGCAAATAAAAATGTCAATCCAGCACTTGCAGTAAGGAATTTTTACATTGCTCTGTTTTTTTTTTGCTTGCAATTTAATGAAAATAGCCTTTTTATGTACTTTTTCATCTAACTCACTTCCGTAACGAAGGATTCATTTTTACATTATTAGCCAGAAATTTTTTTTTTATCAGAATAAAAAGAAGAATCCCTATAACAGAATTTAATTTAAAAAACAATTAAAAAAAACACTTTATTATTTAAAAATAAAATAAAACCATAATGAATACATTCATTTTTTAACTTACATAGCTAATTAAACTTGTTGATATATAAATATATAAAATATATAAATATATTAAATGCTACAAAAAGGTATTTTGCTAAATGCTAACTGAATTTTATTTTTGTTTTTTAATATATTAGTTATTTGTACTTTGGCTACAAGATGTGGACTTTAACAATGATTGTGGAAGGTGGGAGTTTAAATGCGGTAATTATTGTGTATTTTAATAATTGTCAGTGGCAAGTTGCTGTTGGGCTTAATCCATAGTTCTGCCATTGAAAAAAAAATAGTATAAGACTCCACCTTTATTCTGTTCTTCAATCCTGAATCTTTGCCATCTGTGGACAGGTGATTATTGAGAAATGCTTTATACTGCTGGGAGAATTTAGAATTCATGTAAATGCCTAGTGAGTTTTGTGTTCTCTGTTTCGCAGAACCTGGTCTTCAAAGAGTATTGACATTCCTGCAGAGACCCATGAAAACTGTCACTTTAGAGGGTAAAGATGCCATTCTGGAATGTTCTGCTTCTGGCTTTCCAACACCTACCTTCATATGGATGAGAGGCAAAGAACTAATCCAAACAAGGTTAGCTTTTGCTTTTTATATTACTGAAGTTTTAAAGTATAACCATGGTCATCAAGGTTTTTTAATTTTAATTTGTAGTTTAATTATTGTTGTAGGCATATGGTATGTACAGTAGTATGAACAATTGTTTTATTAAAATTGCTCCTTGAGATAATTGTCAAATGGTTGTCATGACAGCTTTTGAATTTTGAAGGATACAGATTTGAATTGATTTGAAAGAGATTGAAAATATGTGAAAAAAAACTGGTTAGAGTTAGTCCCCTTTGGAGCACTGACTTCTATTCACTACCAAGTCCAATAGAGAGAAGGAAGGAAATCCTAATGTTACAAATTAATCTGCATGTTATTTTCAAAGTGATTAAAAAAAACTTAAGGTTCTGGTTAAGTACAACATCCTATGGTGATGTGACCTCAAAAATCCTAAGGAAAAGCAGAAGAGTCAGTAGCTTATTATTACTTATTTCTTTGGCATACACATTTAGACAACATCTCTCACCTATTTATACAGCTGGGTATTTTAGTGGAACAATGCAGTGAACAGAAGCAGTGTCTCACTTGAGATCTCAACCCCAAACCCTCCAGTTACAAGAACCCTAACCACTGTCCCACACTGCTGCAATCTGTTGTGCTTTTTTGTTTTATAAAGAATATTGTGGTAATACTGTAGTGGCAATACTGCATTTGTGAAAACTTATAACTTAATCAATAGTGTTCTTCATATGAGGTATTATCAGCCAATTGAAACCATATATCAAATTTGAACAATTAAAACAGTGATCTAAGTTAATGGTAAGACAACAAGAACTTTAAAATGTTTAGTGCCAAGGGTTATTTTGCCAAATTGGCTAATTTAAATACCAACATACAAATTGAAGATGATGAAAAGACAAAAGAAGCAAACCCAGGTAGCAGCATCAAATCTATATATTTGGAAACAAAGGAATTGCACAAACAACAAATGAAATATAATCTGTGTGAACTTTCAGGAAGCAAACTTCATTTATAAATCAATGTCATACAACAAAGCATCCTGGAAAGAAATAATAATTAAAAACATACTGTACAGTGACAGTTCCTATAAAGGAACCAAATATCCGGCACACTGGAGCTTGGATTCAAGTTGTAATACCTATTTTGTTTGGCTGTCAAAACAGTCAAGGAAGCACTTGGCTTTTCTCCTAGTAGTCATTTCAGTTTAAAAGCATTCAACAGTTGATTAAAAGAATGTATGCATATAAAAGAAGAAATACACAACATTAATTTAGTTACTTTGTGGTAGTCATCAAGCCCAAGCAATATCTGAACAAAGAAGACAGGTTATTTGCAGTCCCAGTTCTATCAAACTGGAATCATCACTGACTTATCTCATAGTCCAGATCTAAGATGGACCGCCAATCATCAGCTATGACTACAGGTTTTTAGTCCACAGTGTGATGCTTTACAAAATCCACCACTACCAAGGCAAACCATGCAGGCCTGTAGGATTTATGTTTTAACACAAACTGTGAGAAATCACTGAGACCCCACAAATCAGTGAGCCAGCCTGTCAAGTGTACTTCCTGCATGGCTACAGCAAGCACGCTTAGGCTGGTGTAAACAATATCAAAGAAAGGCAGTGTTCAAGGTCCTTACCTTGTCTGCAAATACTGCACCTTCAATAATAAAAAGATATGGAGAAAAATATGGTATGTTTGCCAATCAGTTTCTAGTTAATGCCATACAATGTTGAGCAAGGATTTACCAAATATGCCTCAATATGCTTTGAGGCACTGAAAATATGTGGATTCGGGGAAGTTACTGGATAGTGAAGCTTTTCAGATAATCTGATTCATAATCGCTATGTTTTCTCTTTTTCTAATGGCATAAGGATTTTTCTCAGAATTGTTTTAGTTCAGCCTCTTCTCGGTGACCTACAATTCAAATGAGATTTATGGTTTTATACTAAAACATATTAATATGTATTGGTTTGTAATACTATGCATTTAAAGGAAATTCGTAAAGTGCCCCATTTAGTAAGTCTGTTTGAAAAGCACCGTAATTTAAATTGTAAATGCAATTTGTGGACATTTTAGTATTCATACAAATTTAAGCACATTCTGTCATTCCTCCCTAAATTTCCATTTATAAGACAAAGATTGATGCATTCAGTATACAGTTTGATGTAATGAAGTAGAAGGGGAGATCAATGCTGTTTTGCTCATTTCTTTTTTAACTTTAATTTGCATGCTTACAAAAATACATTGTCTCCTCAGGTCGAAGAAGTACTCCTTGCTTGGAGGGAGCAACCTGCTGATTAGCAGTGTCACTGATGATGACTCTGGCACTTACACCTGCATAGCATCTAACAAAAATGAGAGCATCAGTGCCTCCTGTGATTTCTCTGTCCTGGGTAAGCTCCCTCTTGTTGCCTCCCTCTGAGCCAGATTCTGTTGTTTGTAGTACTGTCACATTGAGTTTCTTTATATTTTAGCTGCATTCTCAGAATCTTGGTTATATTTTTCTCTAATGGCACACATTGAGCCACTTAATTTTGGAATGCAGTGTCTTATTCTTTATTATTTACGAATGAACGCAAGTTTATTTTCTCCTCTGTTTAAAGAGAGGGACATTTGAAAGAACAAGAGAGATTTTAAAAGAGACCAACAATTTTCCTTTCTATTTAGGAAGCTAAAAACACATCTGGTACTGGCTATTCTGTGTCTACAATCTCCCTGTGCATCTATATTTTGATTGACAAATGCAATTATTGCGGCTTATGACAACAACGTGTGATGTGTATTAATGTCAACTTATTTATGAAGCATTTCTGTAATATTATTTTCCACTGATGCAAAGTGATCTCTGCTTGGTCAGAATTATTTAACGTATTTTTTCTGATCATAATCCTTAGATCTAGAGGTATTTCTGGCAAAGAAAACAATTACATTTGCACTTTGTAATAAGCAGATTTTAAGAGAATAAATGAGAAAATGTTTTCCATCCACAGTTATATAAAAAACAAATTAATTTGTGGGCTAAAAATATACCCTGATCTTATACAGAAATACAGAAATAACAAAGAATGGAACCTTTTAAATAAATTCATCTTATCGTTTACAGAAAGAATAATATATCCCTCCAAGTTTTATTCTGTACAGCTTTTAGCATTCCCATATGCTGTATATTCAAAACAGATTATATTGTAAAACAGATTATGAATATGTTCTACCATTTTGAAATAAAATAAATGAACAAATGAATAGAAGTTAGGCTGAAGCTGCAGCTAAGGAGAAACAACTCAGCACAAATATCCTTTAGAAACAAAGTTTTTGAAAAATAAAATTACCAGTAATTTTCAGCCAGTGAATTTGTATTGTGTATTGATTTATGTTACCTTTCTTATGAACTGTTTCCTGTAGAAGTTCATACTATGCAATATCTGCAATATATGCAAAAAAACCATATTATTTAGTGTTGTACGTTACATGCCATATGCTCGAGTAAGAGTCTTGGGTTCATCATATGTCTCATTTAACATTATTCCTTGTATTATTTTTCCATAAGAAAGTAAATCAGTGCTACTGGGATTGAACTACTTACAGTAAATGAATGACATATCATACTTTAAGACACAGAAAACACTAGTGAAGTCCTTGTTTACATGGGACTTGTATGTAAGTATGACAGGCACAGATTGATAAAGGTTTATTATGAAGTTATGCTTATATACGTAGAACACATAAACTTAATTCTCCATAGTTCTAATTCTCCATAAAGTCCATAGTTAATTTGTGAGAAAAAAATCTGACTTTATCTGCTGAGTCGGAAGAACAAGTCTGTGGAAGTGGTGAGGATGTTTGAGGTTGAAGAACAGGATCAGGCTGGAATTTGTGTATAACAAGTGACTTCAAGGAGATAGGGTGTATTATGCAGAATGTGAGTGCTGAATTGTTTTTTTTTCTGTTGTGAGTAATATACACAGGATTGTTGACAAAGTTGTGAGTTCTTGCCTTTTTTAGTGGGAGGAATTTGAATTTAGGGGTGGGAAAATACAGTACTACAGTATGTATTGTTTTCTGTTAGTTTCTCCTTTATTAATAAGGTCTAGTTAAAACTCAAAACACCAAAAATATTCTTTATGTATGCCTATGGATAGATACTATAGGTGTTAGAATTTCACTGTACAGACCGATCATTTATGAATGTGTACTCTATACTGCCAGTAGTTATAAACAGGGTGCAACTTTTTTAAAATAAAATAGCACAATTCCTTATTTAAATGAAAGAATTTTCTTTTGTCGGTTGCTAAATATTTTCCTTTGTCAGCCGAATTAACCTTTGAAGTAGATATTGCAGAAGTCAAGCTTGAATTTTTGAACATCTGTTCCTTTTTAAATTGTAAAATAAATTTGCAGGCAAGAAAGCCAAACATTATCACCATTCCAAGAAAATGTCATGTCATTTACCAAACCGCTTTTATACCATACGGTGTAGCAGGAAGCCTGAGCCTACCCAGCAAGCAACGAGTGCAAGGCAGGGTACAGCCTGGACAGTCCATCACAGGGCAAATGCAATCCAGTCATGAGGACAGTTTGGAGGCCACAGTAAAGGCCAAGGGGGGAAATTTGGGCCGGACACCAGGATAACTCCCTACTCTTATCAAGAAATGCACAGGGATCTTTAATGACAACTGAGAGTCAGGACCACTGTTTAACGTCTCATCTGAAAGATGGCGCTATACCAGGGCATTAGGACCCACACAGACTGCAGGTTGGGCACCCCCCACTGGTCCCACTTACATCACGTCCAGCAGCAACCATAGCTTCCCAGGAGGTCTTCCAACCAGGTACTGACCACACTCAACCCTGCTTAGCTTCAGTGGATAGCCAGTTGAGAGCTGCAGTGTGATATGGCTGCTGGTGCCAAGAAAATGTATATTTTGGAAATGTATAGAGTCACATCTATCAGCGCTGAATTTAAATGTTTTCCATAAACAGGAGCTGCATCATGATTATTGAGTTAAATTCAGCAAAACTCTGTTTTGAGGGCATGAATAACACACATCCTATCTGTTGAGAATTCAGGACACCCATTAGATAGGCCACCATATTCAGTATCTACTGTACAGAATAAATCACATAAAACAATTAGGGAACATTTGTGATGTGTGAAATGAGTACAATTCAGAAAAATTATGGAAAACCTCGAAGCTCAAAAACCAGGGTTTCACATTTTCACACTATTCGTTCTTTAAATTCATTCATTTTCAATTTTGAAACGTTTGAAAAGCTGTTGATTATGATGTTTGTCTTGTTTATTCAAATAAAAAAAATGGTTTAGAAAATCTGTGACAAATGAAAAACTCAATTTGAGATGCTAAACTATAAATTCCTAGAATTTAACAAATGTGACTAGTTAGAAAAGGACTTTTACAGTAACTTTATACAGTATGTGAGGTATGTATCTCTCCATTCTATAGAATGCGGTAACATTTAGCTATTTTTTGTTTTAGACATGCTTTTATGAACTACTTGGAGAACGAAAATTATTTTAATTACAGGTTACATAGCATAAGATAGGGAACAGAATTGTGACCTTGTCACAAGGCTTTAAAAAAATCATACAATATTTAATGAGGAGGTGAAAGAATGATTAATGTCAGACTTTGAGAGAATGTCTTTCAATCCTCCATGTTTGGCAGTTTAGTGAAGCAGAATGGACTGACACCAAATGACAGTTACATCAAGACCACCAAACATATTCAGCTTGTGACCTCAGCTGTATTTGAACCCAAACTGATGGAGCAGAAAGCCCCAAAGACTTTAATTCTGTGCCATTTTCACATCAAAGATAACGAATGAGCCGCATTTAATAGTTACAGTAGGTTGCTGGGATTTTGGAAACTTAATACAGATTGCAAGGAAGGTACAGCAGAAAAAATATATAAACATAATGAATGAGTGAATGCTATCTGGATAACCAATAATGTTTAACGTGTACAGTAGCTGGTTTCACTACACCCGCAATTCCTGGGAAATCCTTACAGAACATTTGCTATCATCAAGAAACCCAGCAGAGCATAATTTGTATGTTTGTGCTGGGAGATCACCAGCAAAGTGATGCGTTAGACTACTGTACCTCTCTCCCAGCTGAATGAAAAAAAGCCTCTCAGCACAGTACATCACTGTATGGTTGGGATATTTAACTGGTACAGCAGGTGGAAAGCTGCTGTGTGGAGATAATTGTCCAATGGGAATTCCATGTTCAAATATATTGATTTCAAACAAAAATAAATTGTCAAATATTGGATAAGAAAGGCTTGCCTAGGGAGAGAGAACATCCCAGTGAATTGCACAGCTTACTGTATATCCTTCTGTGAGAAAGAAAAAAGACCAGATATTAGAAAAACAAAATTGAATGATGTAACTAATGGCAAATGTATTTAAGTAAAGTTTTCAGAATCCTTACTAGAATACACTAACTTTGAAATCTACCTGATTTACAGATAATTTTGTAGGCAACATACTATATTACAGGTAAGTATAACATTGAAAAGATCTCTATTATCTTTTGCTTACTTTGACTTAAAATCTGTTAAGGAACAAGTAATAGGTTTATTCCATGCTGAAAAAAAGAAGAAAGAGAACACAACATTTCGGCCATGGAGCCTTCTTCAGGTGTGAAGTCAGATATTCCCTGATTGTTGTATTTTATAATAATACTTCTTCTACTGTAGGTTTAGTTAGCAGTTTCATGCAACATAGAAGATAGATGATTTCCCATGAATTAGCAGGTAGAAGTTAAGGTTTCACATGAAGAACCTATGGCAGAAGGTGTGAATACTTATTGACACCTGAAGAAGGCTCCACGGCCGAAACGTTGTGTTCTCTTTCTTCTTTTTTTCAGCATGGAATAAACCTATTACTTGTTTCTTTGCAGCCTATGCATGCTGACGCAGCTACCCACCTGAACTTAAAATCTGTTATACAACCATTTTATTTTTCAGCATGGTTTGCTCACAGTCCTCTCTCAAGTACTGATTGTTTGCCAAGATAAACACAAGTCCCTAATGCTTCAGGAGGAAACCTGATAGTGCTTTTGTGTTGATGAATTTGTTGGTTGAGTGCACTTGATGGTGAATGGATGTTTATTTTAGATTATTCATTCAAGTGTATATACTGTATAAATGATTTTAGACTAAAATCAAAATGAATCATTCCAATTAAGTTTTATATGTTGTAATTGGTTCAGCTGATCATAAATACAGTAACAGATATAACTATTAACATTTGAAAACTGTGAGGTTGAAGAAATAAGTATTCACACCTTCTGTCATAGGTTCTTCATGTGAAACCTTAACTTCTACCTCCTAATTCATGGGAAATCGTCTATCTTCTATGTTGCATGAAA